CCCCCCCCCGTGTCTTCTCCATTTCAGGCGTATTTCTCTCAGCCCATGGTTGCTGCAGCTGTCATTGTCCACCTGGTGACGGATGGGACATATTATGGGGACCAAAAGCAGGAAACCATCAGTGTACAACTGCTTGATACCAAAGATCAGAGCCACGATCTAGGTGAGCGTGTTCTCTTGGGCTTGGCTCACTCTTAGAACCTGGTTCCATATCTGCCCTGTAGTTAGTTGTGAGAGTCAGCTTAGAATGAACTTTTCCTTTCCTTTTCCTCTTTCTTGATCCTTCTCTGTTTGGTGTTTGGTTACCTTCAAATCAAAGTATCCTTTTTGTATCCAGAAAATCCTAGATCTGGCAGATTTAGGGATAAGGGGCCAATGTTAACACTTTCCCTTCAAGAGTTCCTTTTGTCAGAAACCTTAAATTTCAGATGTTCTATATGATCCTCAAAAGAGGAAACCAAGCAAGAGCCATTTTCCCATTGCACATGTCCACACCTGAGACTCAAAGAGATCCAAGGACACACTGCAAATCAGGGTGGAATAGCCAGGTTTTCAGAATAAAGTCCACTGCTCTTTACCCTTTAGCCAGAGGAGTCCATGAAAATCCCCCAAGTGGTGACTGTGTCTCCAGCATAATCTCCAGAGAAGATTCCTGTGAGTGTAGGAATAAGAACATTTTTGAAGGACCAGCAGATAGCATAATACGTCACTGGATTCCCATGTAGTTGACCATAGTTTGAGACCCAGACCCAGCAGCTTAAAACTCATGCTGAGTGTGCATGTGTATATGCATGCCCAAAATCTTGAGAGGAGAATGGAGGAGAGGGATTGCAGCATGGCCATCCCACCTAGGGAGGGTGTGTGATTTCCTGCTTTCTGTCTCTCTGTCTCTCCAGCAAGTGCATGCACTCTATAGTAAAAATATCTCCCTCTAAAAAAAAAAAATTAGAACATTTTTGATCAGCTTCATGAGTGGGAAGGCAGGGGCACAGTGAGAATTGAGAAGCTGCCCTGAGTGTGGGGTCAAATGAGAAGACAAAGGCTAGTGTAGCCACTTGTGCCACCCCTCTGCATACCCATGTGTGTCATGATACAGAGGAAAAGGCTGACTCTAGAGCTGACAGCCGAAGTCTGAATCCTGTCCCTGCAACTCCCTTGTCTTGAGGACAGGAACAATTTTCTGGACCTCTTAGTGCCTCACTCAGAGCTTTGCCTTCCTCATATGTACAGTGGGGACAGTAATGCCCATTTAGCAGTCAGAGTGAGATGTACTGGGGACCTTCATGACCAGTGCATGTCTAGCTCAAGACTTTACTAAGAAATACCTGTTGGCACTAAGAAATTCCTGTTCCACCTTCCTATTTCCAATCTGCCCTAGAGAGCTTTGGGCAGCATCCTGTGTGTTTGGAATTCTGGACCAGCCCTTGAAGCCTGGACTTCAAAGCTGTGCCCATGCCATTCCACAGAGAGCTTATTTCAAAGACACTTAAGAAACAAGCAGGCAAGAAGGTCATTTCAGCATCAGATAGAAGCCAAGGAGGCAGAGATGGTTTTCTTGCTTTCTTTTTATGTTTGTTTAGTTAGTTAGTTAGTTTTAAAGGCAAGAAGGAAGTAATAAGAAAGGAAGAAACCCCCTATGGAGTTACCCAGATTGCTGGGAAATTTCCCTAAGTGAGAAGCAAATATTTTCATAGTTGTCTTGACATTGCAAAGGGCTCTGAGGAGGGTTTTTCAGCAGAGGTGGGGAAGTCTAGTCCTATAGATGTTTCTTAGACCCTGCCACTGATGCCTGAGGCTTCCACATTTCCCTTTCCCTCCTGACTGTGTGCACCTGTCTGCAGCAGGAGGCTTGGCAACTCTGAGAGTAGAACCAAAGACTCCTGCTGGACTTGGAGCTTTATCTTCCACAAGGTAGAACTTCCCCACCATAGCGAGCCTGCAAGGATATGGTAGGATCATATCATTTTTTAGGTATGGAAATGGAGTTTTAGGGACTTGCCAGAGTGCTATCATTAGGAAGTGACTAAATCTGCAGTTAAGCCAATATCTACCCAACTAGTTTCCAATTTGCCAACTCCATCCTTCTACATCATTCCTTTTTCTCTTCTCCTTGAGGCAAGATTGGATTCTACTTGGACTTTATGTCTCCACTGTTCTATGTTCCTCTAGAAAGCCACCTACTGCCTGTGACTGCTTCCTTCTCTGCAGACTAGGCATCAAAGTCCTCAACTCACAGGGCTGCTCCCACGTTCATAGATAACCTGTAAGCGTGGGATTTTTACCCTGGGACAGACCTATTGCTATGAATTATTTTCACCACTTTTATGACAGATCAGACAGGCAGCCTGAAAACTAGCAACTCAGACCATCAAGCCCTAAGGCAATGTGGGAGGGAAGTGAGGCCCCAGTGTTGCTTGGCTGAGTGGTGGCCCGTGGGGGAGGGAGAGGGGCTGTGGGCGCTAGGTGAAGGGAAAGCTTAGGGGGCAGGGTAGCAGGGAAGCAGGGGGATTGGAAAGATTTGGAACCAAGGGAAAAAAGGCAGACAAAGAAACTTTCAATCAAACTCAAAATCCCCACCGGCCGCCCAATGGTGCTTTTGTGCAGTGACATGAAAGGGTCTGGGGGCTTCGGGAAGGGCCCGTTGGGGAGGGCGTGACTGGCCTTGAGTAATGAGCCTGGCCCCTCGGCCCCTCTGTCTCCCCTGACAGGCCTCCATGTCCTGAGCTGCAGGAACAATCCCCTGATTATCCCTGTGGTCCATGACCTCAGCCAGCCCTTCTACCACAGCCAGGCGGTACGTGTGAGCTTCAGTTCGCCCCTGGTCGCCATCTCGGGGGTGGCCCTCCGCTCCTTCGACAACTTTGACCCCGTCACCCTGAGCAGCTGCCAGAGGGGAGAGACCTACAGCCCTGCCGAGCAGAGGTAAGGGATGCTGGGCCCACTCGCTGTGGGCCATTTGTAGTCAAGTGGAGACAGTGCAATTCTGAGGTTGGGGAATCATTTGTGTTGCTGTAAAAGGTCTTTGTGTTTCTTCTTTCTTCATCGTCTGGTCTCTGGCTGGCTCTGCCTTTGAGCTTGAGGGGCCCACAAATCTCTGAAATCCTAGGGCAAGTGAGGGAAGCAGGGATTTGTGGTGGAAAGACAACCTCTCTCACCTGTCTTGCAGCTGCAGAGTGGACAATAACTTGCAGAGTGATCCTGGAAACATCAGTTTCCCTCTCTGAGTCTCAGTGTCCTCATCTGAATAAAGAAAGAGCAGGCAGATTAGCTCTCATGCAGCTCTGAAACACTGGAAAATTGTGCTTTCCAAGTTGCACAGGCAGGAGTCATTACCCTTCTAAATTTAGGGGGCTGGTATTTGTTTCGCTCTCAATTCACTGTGAATGATGGGTGAAATCTCTATGTCATAAGCAAGTTTAGGCCCTGAAATCCCTTTAGTGACCTAGAAGTTGGTTTCACTGCATAGTATCACTTCATTAATGACATCTATTAATGCACCTACTTTGGAGTTGGACAGGGATCATGTTTCCTGGAAAGAATATAAGCTTGAGTAATACTCTTACTGGAGTTGGACTCTCCACATTAACATTCCTTGAGTGTGTGTCCTTGGGCATGTCACTTCAGTTTTCAGGGTCTCAGTTTTCTATTTTGGAACAAGTGGATAATAATATCTACCCCACAGGGTAATTTGAGGGTTAAGTATTTCACTGTAGATAAAAGTGCTCTGCAAATTGTTAAGCACTGTGAAAAGACAACTTAGTGATGGTGGTGACACTTCTCTGCACAGAATTCTGAATAAAGTTCTTAAAGCTAGATCTGGAAGGAGCCTCAGAGGGTATCCAGTATGTGCAACATGTCCAAACATCTGTTATATCTAGGATTCTAGGGTCCAGAAAGGGAAGACCTGGTCTAGAACTGGTCCATAGTTATACTGCATCTCTAAAGTTTACTGGGATCCAGAAAGAAAAAGAAATGGTTGTCATTTTGGTCGGCTCCCTGTGATGGGCCATTCAGCCTTATTCTGTACACCTGGGGGCAAGGAGAGCAAGAGGAGGGAGGTGGAGGACAGCAGGCTTTTTCACACCCCTGCCATTGCAGAAGGCACAAAATGTGGTTGCAAAATCAACATTGTTTTGCACCCAGTGTCTTTAGCTTCTGTTGTGCAAAGTCTGTTGCAATCATTTGGAGACAAGAATTTCTTAAATATCACTCATTGCCATATTTTACTCTAAGAAGGCTTTTTTATCCCTGGGTTTTCAGATTCTATAAAAATAAGTTAATTCTCAAACCCCAGAAAGCCAATGTCATGGAAAATACAAAT